ATATCTACAGGTATGCCTAAAGATGTTATCTTACTTCCTAGTGCAAAATATAACTGGCTATTCAAGATTTCTATTTAGAAAGTTACTCAAAATTTCTATTTGAAAATCACCACAAAACAAAAACTGTTACAACTGTTCCACTTTTGAGGGACCTATATATGCACATTCTTATTTTTTGGATGACAAGTCCAAGTTCCATGAAAACATTAGAAAAAAGGTGATTTAGGAGCATTTTGGCATGTGTGACTACAAGAACAAAGCTGTAAAAACGACATAAAAACGTTCTTGGAAAGCGAAAATTGCGAGCGTCAGCTGTCACATACATAAATGAGCAGTCTAATAGAAGAACAAGAAAGTAGCATAAAACAAGAACAGAGAACTAAGGAAAAGGACTACTCCCAGTGATGAAAGACTCTAGATGTGAGGAAACAATGAAAAGAGGCCTAATTTGCATGGATCTTCTTTTTTACTACTTTTAAAGAGGATCTTATTGGATCTTCTTTTTTACCACTTTATTTTTTATCACTAAAGATAAGTTTTTCGGGTTGAATCAGCGAAAAATTCATAATGTTTCCCCAAATAAGCAAAGAAATTCCTGATCCTTTTGTTTCTGTAACAGAGGCAGAACAATCAAACCATTTCCTTTCCCCACCACTCACATCCCCGTTCCGTTCCTTCCCTGTCCCAAAAAGCTTCCGGCTGCCTATAGTCAGCCGCTGAAACAAGGACTCGTTCACATATGGCATTGAGTGCATGTGTGAGTGTGATTTGCTGCTGCTTCTCTCCCTCACTTCCACATTCAGCCGACAAACCGAACGAGAATCGATTTCTCTGATTCATCTCAACCTTCACCTCGGCTCCCGTCATTCAGACGGATTCATCGATTTTGCGTCTGTCGATCGACACTGACATCGGGTTCAACTCGAACGAACTAAAACACACTGAGCAAAAACAACAAATGCTACAAGAAAGATGTTGTAAACGTAACAAGCAACAAGGAGATCATAGTTACATGAGTGAAAATAAATTTAGCAGATTTTTGATGCTACTCATGGGCAAAATCAGCCAT